TCCTCCACAACTAGACTGAAGAACAAAACAACAGCAACTTGTCTGTTCCCCCTCCCCCAATTCCCCAATAAAATATTTAAACAAAAATTCATTCAAAATGCAAAAGAGACTAATGTATTTTATTGTCACAGAGTATAAAAAAGTTCAATGATACAGCCGTTGCTGAAGACCCCACCCAGAGCAGTGAGAAGGGAATAGAAATACCCTAGTTTCTTTCTTCCTCCTGTTCTCCAATTTCACTGCCAACCTAAGTAAAGAGGTAAGCTGAGGCAAGCTCCAATTACCAGAAATTGAGTTTATTGGAGAAAAGCGGAGCAATTGCAATTTGGAAAACGAGTGGAAGCCGCTGGCGAACAGGCGACTCCGCGGAGGGCTTGGGATAGACTGTATTTATCGTCGAGGAGGGGAAGTCCAGTCAGGGTCCAAGCAGCAAGTTCATTGGCTGGAGGATGGGGCGGTCTTCTGTAAATCAGGCAATTAACGCGAGATCAGTCAGGTCTCTCAGCTGGTTCTGAAGTGCCGCTCTTCCGAGGACGCATGCGTAAGAGTCTCCATTTCCTCTCCTGCGGTTCCATTTTAGACTGAAATCCTTTTGCACGTCCCACCTGAAAGGAGCTGCCTCTGTATCGCCAGCTCCAACACAGTTCTAGGAACCAGGTAGGTGCTTAATAAATATTTCATGAGTGAGCGAATGGCCGACTGTTGTAGATGTGGAATGTTGGGGTCGGCACCCCCACCTTCCAGGTTCACACTGAGCAACTATCCCCTCCCTCCTGCCTCCAGAGTCCCAGGGAGCCAGAGAAGAGGGCTGCCCTGGGCACCCTTTCTCCCCAGCACACAGTTCACAGAGCCAGGGGCTTGAGGTTTAATTTGGCTGTTACCCAGTGGCTACGGACTCTTGGGCAAGCCACATAACTTTTTCTGGTTCCATCTTCTCATGGTAAGGTAGAGACTGTGATATCTGCCCTCCTTACCTCTCGAGGGTGGTTTGGAGGTGAGTGTTGATGTTCCTGAGAGAGGAGCACCAAAGCATGAACCCAAATTCTGAGAAGCCGGTGAATATTCATCCTGGCTTTAGGTCCTGGGTGGCCACACTGATGTCAACCAGCTTTGTTGTTTGTCTCCTCCAGGGAGGAAATGTTAGCTGGAAGCACTTCAAGGGAGACAGCTCCTTGACTGTGGAGTTGGCGGCGTCTCCGCGGGCTGCTGACCGCAGTGGTGGAGGGAGCCACCAGCAGCTGTGGGGCGTGCTGGCCAGCTGAGGGCCCGGCTCCTCTCCACCCCCTCCGTCCACCCTGGGGTTCTCACCTGGGGCTGTTGATGCAGAGAACCTGGTTAGGCCCAGGAATTCTGATTCCTGGGTCAGCTGTGGTCCTAGGACAGGCTCGCGTTCTGCCAAGGACAAATGAAAGAGATAGATCCTGAGCAGAGAGAAATCGTCGGGCAGTGCTCATGTCCTTTCCCTGCCGTAACCTATGCCAAGCCCTGGGATATAGGAACTAAGGGAACAGCTCTGCCCCTCAAAGAGGTTATGGTTGAACAGGGGATAGAATGGATGCCCTTATCCAGGGTGAGGTCCCTGCCTCATTAGGGAGCAGTGAAGGCTGAGGCTTGCTGGGGATGGTGGCAGTGAGTGGTGTCCCTGCCCCACTGCTGCTGGCTGGCTCTTTCTCTCCTCTGAGCTGCTGAGGCAGGTCTGCCAGGCGCTCAGGAGAGTGCTTCCTGGCTGCTGGCTCTGGGGTTGACGCACGGGCAGTGTGAGGCGGATGCCATGGGAAAGGGCCTGCCTCAGAGAAAGGTTCCTTGGGGAGAAACAATCTCACGTCCTCCTTTCTCCAGCTGAAATGCTACCCGGCCTAACTTGGGGAGTTATGAGAGCCCCCAGGCCTGGCCCACTGATGCCTGAGAAGCCCCCACAGGCAGGGGATGAAAGGGGAGGTGGTCCGCAGGAATGCAGTAACCCCCCTAAGACCCTAATCCCCAGGGCCTGGGGGAGGGTGCGGCTGGTACCGGCTGGAACTGTGGTTTCACTACTAAAGCCCCTCGGAAGCCAGGAGGCCAGAGTGTTTGAATTATAGGCCTGGTCCGGCTGCGTGCTGGGGCTGAGCCAGGAACCCTGGGCCTCACGCCCCTCTTGGGTAGATAAGGACTCATCAAAAGGAACTGCTTGTGGGCTCACCCCTCGTACATCACTATTTCCGGACCCACCAGCCAGTCGTTGGAGCGACAAGACAGATAATCATATACATACATGGAGGGTATTTCATAATTTCTTGTGAAGTCCTTCACACAAACATCTTGTGTGAGAGCCAGTCCATGCCCTTGGGCTTGAAATGAACATCAGACTAGCTTCTGTGAGCCTCAGTAAGACTCCCTGGGGAGCCCCTGTGCCCACCCACTCCAGGTTTGGGGTCAGCCAACATTTTGTGATAGCCTCTGATCCAGCCCCTGCCCTGGGAGAAGCGTGGATTTTCCTGGAGGTTTGTGGAGGTCAGAAAGAGGGGGTACTTCACACACCAGTCACCCAGCAGCACTTCATGGCAGACTTCCCTGCCCAGCAGACATCCTGGCCCTCTCCACATCCCTGTTCTTTGGCAGCGGGTTGCCAGCCCCCTCTTCCCTTCCTGCTCTGTACACAGACTCCGAAAACCCTCTGCTGCCCAAAGCAATGGGGCCTCTCCCAAAACCTCTCAGGTCTCCTCAGGATTTCCCTTCAGCTGCAGACTGTAGCTCTCACCCAGCAAACAGCCAGGCAGGCTCTGCAGGCCCAGCCGCCAGCGGCCACCGGAACAGCTGCACTGGGGCTGCTGCAGTCTCTGAAACCTGCCCAGGGTGCCCATCTGCCTTGTCCCCCCACTCCCGGAGGGGAAGACTTTGCCAAAGAGAGAGCCATGTTGTTATGCGCCCTGGGCTTTGCTCCTGGGTGTTTCCGAAGCTCAGGGCTGAGGTCTTTGTCCATTCTCAGAATCCGGAATCCATCTGCGCCCCCTCCCCCGCCAAAGCCCCCAACAATCTTTCCTCCCTCTAACAAAGAGCCCTTTTGATTTTTATCCCTCTCTTGCCAAGTGTCTTGGGTAATAAAAATAAGACTATCAGCTTGCTATGTTCTAGGTACTAGTCTAACAGCACTTTGTAGTTATGAGCTCATTTCATCTCAGTATTTGTGTGTGTGAGTGTCTGTCTGATTTCCTTAACTGTATAGTGAAGTCCTCACGGGTAGAGATTGGGGTGCCACGTGTTTGTATCCCCTGAATTCCATACACTCCAGGAATGTTTGCTGATTGACTCAGCCTGTCCTTGGGAGGTCCCATCCCAACCTGGTTACTCACTTTCTCTTCAACTGGAGCTAAGATTTCCTTCCTTTCTTATACCCTCAGGAGGAATAAGTGTTGCAACATGACCTGGAGAGGCTTTGGGACCACAGGGACTTTTCCTCTGACTGTTCACTAGAAGGCACCTGCCCGAGAGGAGCAAGGAAGACGCAGGTGGGCATTCTGAGCCGGAGGGGAGATAGGCATCTGTGTGTGTGTGTGTGTTCACGGTGGTTGTCTCTGGATGGTGGATTGTGGATGATTTGGGTTTTCGTCTGATGCTTTCCTGCATTTCCTGCCACGAACAAGTATTGCATTTTCACTCTCAAAGGGGGAATTAGACATGTGAAAATCAGAATGTTTTAAAATCACTTCAGATGTTTCCTGAGCGTTTTGTTGAGTAGTGATGGTTGAGGTAAGTTTCAAAGGGTGAGTACAGACGTCTCAGAAGCTGGTATTCAGCCGGCCTCCATCCTGCTGGTGAGTGACCCGTCTTGACTGACCACTGCCCATGCCATACTGAGTGACAAATCTTTTGCTGTCTCCCCTGCCCAGAGGTCATAACCTCTTCTTCGGAGGGGATGAAGATTTAAATTCCCCAAGCCAGGGGCCGGCCGAGTGGCGCGATGGTTAAGAACTCGCTTGGGATGCCAGAGGGCCCCGGTTTGGATCCCACATATGAGGGCCAGTGACACTG